AAACTTTGCTCACAATTATCATCTCACTCAAACTTAACTTCTTTTCTAGTCAACCTCGTCAATGGAAAGCAATAACTGAAAAATCCTTAACAAACTGTCTATAATAGCCTGCTAGGCCAAGAAAACTTCGTACCTCAGTGACGGTTCGAGGTTGCTCCCAATTCTCCACAACTGCCACTTTTTAAGAATCCACTCGAATGCCTTAAGCTGATATAACATGTCCCAAAAATGCCACTTGATCTAACTAGAATTGGCATTTGCTAAACTTAGCATATAGTTGGTGATCCCTCAAACTTTTCAACACCAATTTAAGATGTCTAGCATGCTCTGCTCTAGACTTAGAGTATACTAGAATGTCATCAATGAAGACAATGACAAACTTGTCCAAATATGGCTGGAATACTTGATTCATTAAATCCATGAAAGTTGCTGGTGCATTAGTTAACCCGAATGGCATCACAAGAAACTCATAACGACCATATCGAGTCCTGAATGCTATTTTCGGGACATCTTCACTTTTAATCTTCAACTGGTAGTAACCAGACCTTAAGTCAATCTTAGAGAATACACGCGCACCTCGAAGTTGATCAAACAAATCATTTATACGTGGCAATGGATAACGGTTCTTAATTGTTACCCGATTCAATTACCTGTAATCAATACATAGCCTCAACGTTCCGTTTTTCTTCCTCACAAATAAAACTAGAGCTCCCCAAGGTGAAATACTAGGTTGAATAAATCCCTTATCAACCAATTCCTAGAACTGAACTTTCAATTCCCTTAATTCAGCAGGAGACATTCTATAAGGAGTCAAAGATATAGGATCCGTACCTGGAAGCAGATCAATAGTGAACTCCACATCTCTATCTGGCAGCAATCCATGCAAATCATCAGGGAACACATCCGGAAAATGCCTGACCACACATACATCTTCCACACTACTAGGAGCATTATCATTCAACACCACATGAGCCAAATATCCCTGACAACGTTTCGACAACAATCTTTTGGCTTTCCTGGCAAAAATAACACCATGCCTCACCCCGCTAGGCTCTCCTATAAATGTAACTTTAGGTAATCTAGGACAATGAAAGTAACTGTCTTTCCATAGCAATCTATCTTGGCACAATTGTAGTGTAACCAATCAGTGCCCAAAATCACATCAAAATCAACAATGTCTAACAGAATAAGGTTAGCCGGCAGGACGATATCCTCCACATCACCGGACATCCTGGAGATACCCGATCAACATAACATCTCTCCCCTCTAGGCATAGAAAACTCTAAATCATATCCTAAAGGTGTAGGATGAGGTTGCGTCACTTGAGCAAATGTATGAGAAACAACAAAATGCGTAGCACCACAATCAATCAATACTTTAGCAAAATGACCAAGAATATTTAATGTACCCATGATTAAATCAGGATTGTTCTAAGCATCTTGCAGTGTTATGTTATGGATACGTCTCTGATTCTACTATCGTCCACCACGACTTCTGTTAACATGAATACCACGTCTTTGTCTTGGCTCACCAGACTACCTCGAAGATCCTGCACTGCTAGCAGCAATCTCTACCTATTGTGGATGTCCCCCCTGGTACCACTGGGATCCACCTGTTGAATGTGGCTGATATGGCATAGAACATCCCTGATATTGAGGGTAACCATCCTGATAATAAGGATCTTGCGAGTACTGATAATGTCCTGTAGTATAAGGAGTAGCGTCGCCCTGATAATGATAAGCACCACCACGACCAGTCTGGGTATAACCACTAGGTCCTGAAACATGATAGGTTGGCGCAGGTGGTGGTAAGGAAGACTGTTGGGGCCTCTGCTGATTCTGAGGGCAATGTGCAACCTTATGCCCCATCTGTTCACAAGTATAGCATGCACTGCTGCCTCTCATACACTCTCCAAAATGCCTATTATTACACCTGCGGCATAAATGAGCACTTGAACCACCAAAATCCCTCTGCCTTTGAAATCTCGGGCCTCTAGAAAATCTACCACCTCTTCTCTGCACATTAAAGCTCAAACCTCCACTAGAAAAGCTGGAACTGACACCATTTCTCTTAAAACTCTGAGTCTTACGAGGTCCCTGAGATGATTGACTTTTACCTTTATCATTTCGCCTCTGGTTCCCGTTCTTTTCTTCTTCATCTTCACTTTCATTAGGCATGTTCTCTGAGTCCTCAATCCACAGTAAAACCTCATAAAACTCCTGGTAAGTGGCACAGGGAGTCAACAATCCACAGTAAAACCTCATAAAACTCCTGGTAAGTGGCACAGGGAGTCAATGTCGCTATAGAACGCCATTTCTTCTTAGTACCTAACCTGAAACGACAGAGCATCTCGACCGGATTAGCAACAACCTCCGGATCATATCGAGACAAATCAGTGAATCTCCTATAATATTCATTCACTGTCATCTTTCCTTGTTTCAGATGCATAAATTCTTGTTTCTTGTGATCAATATACTCAGGGGGAATGAATCTTTTTCGAAACAACTGTTTAAACACTTCCCAATCGGATGCTACCTCTAGTGGCATCTGATAGGACTCTTGTCTCCACCAGGATGCAGGCTCCGGACTTAGAAACCAGGTAGTCATCTCGACCCACCTATTAGGAAAAAGATTCATCTGACTCTTCATCATAAGGAAAATCTTCTCGACATGATTAAGACACTTCTCCGCTCTTTCATGTCCTTCATTACCCATGAAATGATTCAGCTTCAAATTATACACAGTCTCAAAAGGTGTCATTTGAGGAGGACGGAGCGAAGACTGAATGGCATTAGCTATAGCTTCCCCTAACTAAGCAATATCGGGGAAACTAGGCTCAGCTGAGTGACGTGGCTCTCTACGAGGCTGCATAGTTCTGATAGAAGACATCACAATGATTAGATTATTCACAAGATATACAGGACTGCTAAACCTAGGGGCTGATACCAAACTGACACACCCGACTTAAAATCAAGGTGTGCTGGTCGTCACGTGAGGGTGACGTAGCCATGTGCACAGTGCGGAAGCAATAAGGATATGAAATATACGAATAAATAAGAACCGAAAGCTAATTAATGTACACTAATAAGCAGAAACTGCTAGGAATGAGATACAAGTGTAAATACACCTAATCAGAGCATAGAAGTTAATGTGCAGTCCAGTAGGAAGAAGTACTACGAATATTATACTTTGTCAGAACCGCCAAGATCCACAAATGCCACCAATAGCAAGTCTACCTAAAACCTGGAGGGGTGCAAAACAAAAAGTGTGAGTGGGCAAAAACAAAGCTTTTCAAAATCATTTCATTTATCAAATGCTCTAACCCCTCGCCGTAAAACATACATAATTTTCCTAGAAATGGAATATAACTATATATATATATATCAAATCATGCTTCACATATCCATAGTCATAAGTATGCCATGCCAAAAATATAAAATAGAATAAGTAACTCAGGTGAAAATAAATTCATGGAAGATAACATATTAGCCAGAACCCCTGCAGAAGTCTGTACGATTGAATTCATAGCTCATTAATCAATCTAGCCGGAGTCACTACAAGTGACCTATATGGCACTACACTGCACACGAGTCGGAACCACTTAAAGGGTCTGTACAACAAGACTGGGTGTAATATAGTTATGCTCAATGCTACGCACTCATGCTACACACTCATGGTCTGTACAACAAGATTGTGCACCTAAATTGGATCCAATGTGAGCATAGGGTGCGAGAGGTAACATTACAAACAGGCATGTACCATATCTCTAGCTAAATCACAATCACCCGGGGTGCAGGTTTATGAGATTTCAATCACATCTCATATTATAAATATCTCATATAATAAATCATAACTCACATGGTACTTACCTGAGTGTCCACGGCACCAATTCATATTATACATCATATACTAATTCATATGCTAAATATAAATTGCTCAATTGAGGTATATAAATATACCATCGTGACCTACACAACTCCATGAACACGCCTAAAATTTTAAAATAATTTTTGGAGTCGTCACGTGCCAACAAGGGCACGGCCCTACGCGCGGCCACGCGCAGGGAACCCTAACGGAATCCCCTAAACCCGTTAGGAATATTCTGTTAAAAGTAACAGAAACCATTAATTCTACCTGACAGCGTCAGAATATTCCGTCAAACTTTGACGGAATATTCTCTGTCTTCTACCTTCGAACTCCAGCAACCGTCGCCGTCGTTGGAAACTGGAAAATCTAAAAATCCTTGTCTCTCAGTCATTTCTTACCCAAAACTCATGAAATTGGTCTCAATTTAAAGCTTATAACTAGAAGAACACATCCTTACAAATTTCAAGGCTTGAAATCCATGAAAACTAGCCAGAGAAAGCTCGATAATACGGCGAAAACTTAAAACTCGTCGAACTAGATTTCCCGACGTCCAAATCGCTTGGTTTTTCTTCTCCGATCTTCTTGAGAATGAGTCAAAGCTCCCTATGTCCTTAAAAACTCCTAAAAACCTCACAATAATTAGTGCACGAATAGTGCATGAAATATGGGGTTAGAGTTCTCGGGATTTTTGAAGCTTTCAAGTTCTAAGAATAGCATATACGAACTCAGAAGCTTATAAGGAGTTCGAATCTTACCTTCTTGACATCGATCCGCATTTGAATGAGAAGGTTCGAGATTTGTCCATACACTTGTACAGACATTGCAAAAAAATCGAAAATGAGGGGAAAGAGAGTGCACGAGGAAAAGGTTGGGTGTGTGGTGGTCCTACTTGGTATTCCAATACACAAAACAAACACTTTAAGTCCTAAGTGTTCCAAAACTTAGGAAAATCTTTGAATTGATCCAAATAACCACATGACCACACCAAACGTCCAAGGGTAAATAAGTAATTTCACACAATCGAAAATAAATAATTCGGGACGGGCTGTGACAGTTAGTGTGATGATGTGGCACCACATGTGTCTCACAAATACAATCATATAACGACATGTGGCACCACGTTAGTAATTTCACACCGTCGAGCCCATCCAGTTCGAACGCGGCTCTTCCGTCCACTTCAACGGCGCTCATCCGGCCACACACACAGACGCAGGAAGATGCAAATCCGACACGAATCAAGTCCCAAAATCCAGGTAAGGGTTTCTGATTTTCACTGGGTAAGAGTCCCAAAATAGGCAATTCTTGAATCGGTTGAAGAAAGCAAGGAAAGCTATGGAAGGTCTGGTTGAGATGGGTCTGGTTGCATCTGGAAGGGAAAAGTTGGCATCTGTTCCATCTGGTGGTGGTGCAGTTGCTTATTATGCACCCGCAGCCGGCGGTGGTGGTGGGGCTGCTACTCCTGTCGCTGCTGAGCAGAAGAAGAAGGAGAAGGTGGAAGAAAAGGAAGAATCATATGACGATATGGGTTTCAGCCTTTTCGACTAAGGGATTTTTGTTCGGAGCTTTGCCTGTATCAAGACTTCATCTTTATAATTTTGGGACCAAAGCTGTGTTTTTAAGAATATGTTTGTAGTTGGATATGGTTCTGGATCTCTAAAATTTTGTTTAGATATGCAAGTGATTGAAGACGTTTACTTTGGATCTTAATTCCATCTATTTGAGTCGAAAAAGAAAAAGAAAAAAAAAAGATGGGTCTGGTGAGAGCTAATGGGGTCAGCAATTTTAGTGTTTCGCGAATCAAACAATTGCTTAAATTTGCAAATATTGTACCCACTGTCAATCAGGTTGGATTTCGTAGATCATTCTTGCTATTTTTAACAGCTCAGCATCAGAATTTGTCCTTTATAAGTAGTTCATATTGTTTGAATGAGGCAATGGATTTCCATTTGTTTTTTCCTTTTCTGCTGCTTCTTTGATTACAATGTCGATCCATGGCCTTAATATGTTAGAATAGACTAGTGATTTAAGTACCATTTTGATGAGGAAATTCATTGGATAAGTTGGCTTTTCAGCAATTATTTTGCTACAATCTACTAGCATGAACGAATCATCCCAACTTCTACTGTTTTCTGTCAGGTATTTCCTCAAGTACTTCAAGGCCATTGTTCTGCATATATTATTTGAAACTATTTCAGGATTCCCAATTTGTCCCGAAATTCCGAAACTATTTCAGGATTTCAGAAATTTGGGATTCTTGAAATTTTGGTTTGGGATCGGTCTTGAAATTGGGATTCCCAAAAACTTCGGTTTAGGAATCAGGACATGGTTTTTGGTTCAGTATCCCATACCGAACCAGCCCTAGGAATACCACTAGGCCTAGTACTAAGTGGCAAGAATGCTTTTAAACTAGCATAAAATATAGGGACATATAGTATTGAAGGGAGTTTCTACAATACCTTATTTGACGTAGAAAAAAAAAACCAAGAAGTCTCGGGAGACAAGGGATGATAACCTGGGAATTGCTCAACCAGGGAGGAACAGATTCCCTCAAGTCTTTATAGGGATAGAATTGAGAATCACTCAACCAGGGGGCAACGAAAGCACTTAGGTTGCTAATTGTGGATTCACTCGACATGACCAAGCCTAACACTGAAGGAGAAAATCACTATCTTCTTAGATTAACTTGAATTCACTAATTCTCTTTCTTAAAGATACATTTGGAGACTTTAAGGGCTAGTTTGGTATTGTTGTGCTTTGGAAAAAAAAAAAAAAAAAACTGTTTCTCCTATGCTATGAAAATAAGCTTATTTTTGCTGCTTCACGTTTTCAGCTTTTTTTTTTACCCAAAACTGTGAAAATAAGCTATTTTTAAGTGTTTACCAAACACTTTTTTGAGCTCAGTTTTTTTTTATACCCACTTTTTATAAAAGCACCTCAGTACCAAACCAGTACTAAATAAGGAGATTACAAAGCATTGGTAGAGTAAATATTTAATAGTAGGATAATTACTAGGAAACTCAATTAAAAGAGAAGGTGACAAAGTTTATTAGAGATGAAAAGTCACTAAAGCAGTAAATATATTAGTTCCCCATGCACTGCATCATTATTAAAAAAATAAAGTATCAGTACCATTTAAGATACACTATGATGGTTTAAATTACACTTCAAAATTATATTGTTATGATAAAATTCAAGTTAAGAACAAAAAAATAACGTGATTATACTAGGGAACTTGAACGAAAAGCTCATGGTATTGTTCACTCTACGAAAAACCACATTTTTACACTAAAAAGTCAATCCTTATACTATTCATTTTACCCTTTATTTTGTCCTTATCATTAAAACTCAAAATTTTCAAACTTTTTTCATTAGTTTTCCTTTATTACTATAACATGGTTGGTAGTTACATTGTAGACGTTCTATTACGTTTCAATGTAGGTTTTGGTACTTCAACATGATTGAATTATGAAATTAAAGTTTATTATAATATGTAGCAATGACGAAAGGATTTTTTTAGTAGGGAACTGTGGAGCCAAAAATATTCACTAGGCGACACGTGGACTTTTGGACAAAAGAGGACAAAAATACCCTCGAGGCATACCGGGTTTCCTACACGAGCAGTGGAGACTCATCCATCAACCAAGTCAGGAGTACCCAAAATGGGTAACAATTCAAAACCTATTTCATTCCATATATGTTTTTACCTCATTTTTTCCTTATTCAATTAGCCATTTATTTCAAACATTCCATAACATCCTCAACCAATTAATATAATCAATATATTAAAGGCTAATTACATCACCAAATTAAGCCCAAAAATCACCCTAAAGGCCGGTTATCCCTTCTCCAAAGGGAGCCGGCCATTTCCTTCTTTTTTCACCATAATTTTCCTTTTTTGTGACAATGATTAGCCAATTATACAAAAAACCACCAAAACATTCATTTTATGTTTAATAGCCAAATAAATTGGCTAATTAAACCTAAATCAAACCCAAAAAACCCTAGCCACCTCCTATCCCTATAAATATACTCTCATTTCTCACCAAAAAGCCAATTCAAACACTTTGGCAAAAATCCCAAAATTCTCTAAACACTCTTTCTCTCTAAATTCTAACTTTGGCATCGGAGGTTCTTCGGCCAAAGCCCCCCCCATTCATTGTGGGCGCGTGAGGCTCTTGGTCTTAACCTAAGGTGTTAATTGTTTTGTAGGTGCAAAATTGTCCAAGATCAAGGAGGAAGAAATTTGCATCCACAGGAACATTATGACCTTGCACAATATCATAATCATGGTACAACATCATGTCAACATACAAGGACTAAGGTAAGGTTACACCATAGTTGTCCAAATTTACACAATTAAACTAAATGACGTTGGTATTACTTTACCTAAGTTGCCTTTGATGGTGTAAATATTAGAATATTACACTATAAGGTTGTATATTATAGTTGGACGATATTGCATTACAGTTTAACGTTCAAATTAAATAATACCGATATATTAAATAATTATTTATGAATTATTTATATCATTAATATAGCAATTAAGCTCTATTGTTTTCCAACAAAAAAAAAATAAGATAATGTTTTTCTCTTCGAAAGAAAGGAATATATTTTAGGGGCCGGGCACCATTCTCCTGCTGGGACAAGTAAAAGACAACTAGGCAAATATGATTAAGCATTTAGAGTCAAATGAGGAACTTTCGTTGAAGTACTTTGATTCACTAGCAAAAGGATATAATGAGGATTCTTCTGAGTTTCAGCATTTTAGCAATCACATACTATGTTACAAATTTGATCCTTGTGTGGTTACAAAATTCGATATGTTATCCTGATAAATTTACACAAGACTTAAGTCTACGCTTTTTAGGAATTTACATCATCCTGCCGTTAAGTAGGCAGAAGACTCTGTACACTGTCCAATATATTTTAGGGGCCGGGCACCATTCTCCATTTGTTGCACGTAACCCTTATTTTGTTTTATCAAAAGCTTGTGCTGCTTCTTCAGCTTTGGCTATGGCCACTTCTGCCTCTGAAATTGCTCTAGCAGCAGCTGCAGTAGCCTCTTGAGGGATCATGGCTTTCAATTTTGTTGGTTCTTAACTAAACAAACTAGGCTTTCATAACCATCTGCCTTCCCTTTGTTCGAAAACAAAAACGCAAACTAGGATTAAGATTGAACTCTCATTCTGGCTCTTATGTTGAACATAACCTACCGAAGTTCTGGCAACCACCTTCAATTCTTGGTGTTAATAGTAAAAGAAAAATAAGGATTGTTGAAAAGTAAATTACTTACTAATTTCATGTTAGTAAATGATTTACTTATTTACTTTATCTTTGTTCTATTGTGTAGCTGTTTTATGTTGTGATAACTTGTGTTCATATGCCAAGTGTATGGTCTTAGATCAGGACTCATTTTCAATGGCTCATATGCTTTGTACTGCCATGTGTCATGATCACATTGGCTCATGTATTTGAACGGTGATGATGTCTGATGTAAGAGAAAGGAATGAATATTAATGAAAGGTTGCTCTCTGCAGTTTTAGTAGAGAATACAGTTGTGAATATTCTTGTCTCTCCTCTCTCTATTTTTCAGCTCCCTTTCAAAATCCAATTCCTGTATATACAAGTTAACTCAGATCTTAACATGGTATCTAGAGCTCAGGTTCTATCTGGAATCGGGGTGTCAGATCTATGAGCGCTGTGCTCGGAAATCCAATGTGAAATTTCCGACTCGGTTTGTCGATTCAAGTCTCAAATGGCTGGATCTAGTGGTAGTGATCTTCGGGCTCCAATATTCAATGGTGACAACTATGAATTTTGGAAGATCCGAATGAGAACTATTTTCAAATCACATGGAATCTGGGATTTAGTGGAAAAAGGGTTTGAAATTTCAAAATCGAAGGATAAGAAGATTGGAGATGAAGGCTCATCGGAGTCGGAGAGAGTTTCTCTGAGCGATAAGCTAATAAAGGATGCTAAGGCACTGGGTATAATCCAAGGAGCTGTCTCGGATGACATATTTCCCAGAATCTCAAACGAAGAAACCTCAAAGGGTGCTTGGGATATCCTACATCAAGAATTTCATGGCGATAAGCAAGTGAGATCCATCAAGTTGCAGGGTCTACGCCGTGATTTCGAGTACACAAGGATGAGGGATGATGAAACCTTATCTATGTATCTCACTCGTCTTCTCGAGTTGGTGAATCAGATGAAGGGTTATGGGGAATATTTACCCAGAGAGCGATTAGTCCAGAAATTGCTCATAAGCTTAACTAAGGAGTTTGATCCTGTTTGTTATGTAATTGAACAAACTAAGGATATTGAAACTATTGAGGTACAAGAAGTGATTGCAGCATTAAGAGGGTTTGTACAACGCCTTGATAGGCATGCTGAGAGTACCATTGAAAGAGTTTTCAGTACTCTAAATCTGAACTCAAAAGGAACTCAACCAAATCTCTCGTTTGGTAATTCTAAACTAATGAAGGATTGGAAATCAAAAGGAAAGAAATGGGATCCTAAACCTCAGAATCTTGCTAATCGAGGTAGCAAATATGATCAAGGAGGAAAATCTGATCAGTCTAAGGGAAAATGCAAGCATTGTGATAAACTGCACTATAGTGAGTGCTGGTTTAAAGGGAAGCCGAAATGTCATGGATGCAATCGTTTTGGTCATTTCATCAAGGACTGTGATCAACCAAACAAGACTGGGAAACTTGTAAACTTTGCGAATCAAGTAACAGAATCT